CAAGGGAGCCTCCACCATTCCAGACAAGCGGCTGTCCAGTCTCTGCCGCCAAGGTTGGATACCCCTGTTTTAAAGCATCTGGTGGCCAACCACTTGCCAGTTTAGTGCGTTGTAAAACCTAACATTTGGAGCTGACAGAACAGCGCAGAAGAACAGAGTTGTGAGGGGCCTCAGAGGTCTTCTAGTCCAACCCTCTGCACAAGCAAGAGATCCTCTACCATTCCAGACAAGCGGCTGTCCAGTCTCTTCTTCAAAGCCTCCAGGGTTGGGAAGCACCCACAATTCCTGAAGCAGTCTCCTCTCCTTTAGGAATAAAATTAGAACCAAGCACCTGGGAATAATCACTAACTTGTCCATTCGTTTGCAAACGTCATAAAGGAATACTTTCAATCTGCAGGGTCCGGGTCTAAAACGAGACCCCCACAGGAAAAGAGGGAAAATTATCACAGAAATAAGAAAAAAACAAGCGGAAGTTAATATTTTGAGTCGGGGACGGTAAATCATCCGAATGCAAGCAAAGGCTACGAAGGAGAGGAAGCTGCCTTCCTTTTGATGTCAACTCTTTCTAAGCGCTCCGAGACTGTAATTGGAGTGGATGAATTTATTATCCAGATTTTGCAAGTTAGGGCAAGGCGAGAAACAACTGCCGTGTAGAACTTACTGAATATATTCAATAAAATAACGTCCCGAATAAAAAGTTTGACCTAGTGGCGAAAGGCACAGGGGACCATGAGTTCTAGTTCCACTTAGGCCTGAAGGCACCTGGGTGACCTATGGCCAGTCACCTTCTCCCAGCCCTGGACAGCAAGGAAGGGCAAACCCCTTCCAAAACCTGCCCAAGGAAACTACAGGCAATCCAAATCAGCAAAGAAATGCATAAATTAAAAAAAGTCAAGGGGGTATAAACGGTCTTTATAATCTTTCGGTTGGGGAAAAGCTGCCCAATTTCTCATCTATGATAAAAGACTTTGGGTGCTTTCCAGGTTTGGCATGTCGTTCTGATCCACCCACCAATTTGGGGCATGGGTGAACGTACATTTCGGCCATATCCTCGCGATCTTGCTATCAATATTTTCACCAGCCACGGTCACCCACTGATTTTCAGAATATCGTGTTTCTCGGGCCCCGGAACCAAACCCCTCCATTCCTTCAGAGTTATGGTTTCATTCTCCATGCAAGCTAAAAGGGACCCCTGCAAAATAAAGGCCCAAACTTCCAAATTATGGCAAGATAGGCCTTGCTATTTGAACGCCCCCAATTTGGTTAAAGCAGACCCTGCGTCGAAAGACATGGATGGACGTGGAATACCTAAGTCCCCAGCAGATTTGATATCGATGTTATCAAAACCGCTTCCAATTCGAACGATTATTCGAAGTGCTTTAAATTTCTCCAAGTCCTCACGGGTTAAAGTGATGGTGTGATACATCAGGGCCCCCACAGCTTCATTCAGTACCTGCAAAACAAAAAGAGATCCAGTAATTTTCCCTACTAGGAGAAAACTATGATCTAGTAGTAGTAAGCTTTCCTTGGTACTCAGACGAAACACCTGCCACCCACCCACTATATAGAGTAGAATAGAATAGAATAGAATAGAATAGAATAGAATAGAATAGAATA